ATGATCTTCAGTGAAAATATAATTTTTGTCATACATTTAAGCAGAAAAGTAGCACATTTCTACTTCTGCTTATTTTGTCTTTAGCATTTATTTATTTATTGTTTCTTGATTTTCATACACAAATTTGATCAAAAAACAAAATTCTTGATTACCTGATGCAGTGTTGAAGTAGTGATATTTTCATCGGAGGGATAGGTGGCACTCTTAGTTTTCACATCCTGACAGTCTATTTGTTTTCTAGGTTTTCTCATTCACAGAGCAAGAAGTGAATGCAGCTTTCAGCCAGCTGACTGGCAGTGAGTAGTTGCAGATGAAGGAGAGTGTCCAGTTTCAGAAAGCTAAAGTAGTGTGAAGTTTTTTTTAAACCAGAGCTTTTAAAAACCTGATTAACCAATCGAACTATAGATGATTTAATGGCTTTGGGTCCTTGTTTGACCAGAACTCTCCTCTGTTTCCCGAAAATCAGAGATTATGATCCCCCATATTAACAAAAAATACTCAAATTGTCACTGTGTTTGAAAAGGAAAAGAAAGCTTTGATAAATTAAAGATACTATTGTCTGAGTATCGAGTTAAAACCTGTATCTTAATGAGTCAAACCCAGTTTAAAATCAGTGTTGGAGACAGCAGCTGGTTCCTAATGAGCTCATCGCTAACAGAGCTGTTTGGTGTGTTTGTTGTTCTGCTGCTAATGGTCCCAAACTGCTCTCCATGTAACACCATCCCACACTGATGCTGCTTATGAGACAGTCATTTATGCACTACACAGTGAGGCAATGGGATATTTATATCTGCAAGGCTTTATGGGGTAATACTCCAAATGGTCAGGTCAAAGCCACTGATTCAGTTTTAGATGGCTGCCTGCAGCAGAAGCAGCTTCAGGTGAGTTAACCTGTTTCATTTAGAGCTAAAGTTGAGATCACTGCAGCAGCCATGTTCTGGTTTTATTTAGAAACAATATTTATATTCTGATGTCTGGAAGATACACAAACATCAGATAATGAATGTTTGTTCTGGTCTTTAGTGGGCATTTGTGTCTGCATTGAAGTTGGCAGAAATCACATTCGGAGTCCCACAAGACCTCTTATTGGGCCCACTTCTATTTACTTACCCCTATTAGTTCAGATTGTAACGCATGATGAGGTAAGCTGCCATAGTTATGCAGATGATAATTACAATGTCACCTGGTGACAATGTTAATGTGTGGAGGTGTCATTACTTTCTTCAGCTGAACAGAAGCAGATTTAAGTAATTATTTTTAGATGTAAAGAGGAACAATCAAGAGTAGGGTGATGATTGATTTATTTATCACATTGACTCTTGCAACAGTCTCTCTACAGACTGGAGAATAGACTTTAAAATACTTTTGTTAGTTTTATAAATCACTGAACGGCTTAGCAGTAAAATACATTAAAGATCTGCTGTTGCTGTATCAACCGTCCAGACCTCTCAGATCTTCTGGTTCTGGTCTGGATCAGAACCAAACTGGAGAAGCAGCATTCAGCTGCAAAGCAGCCGAAACACTGAAGTCCTTTAGAGTTTGATTATTAATCCCAGTTAGAAATCAATAATTTCGGACTGTCGTCAAACTTTTCTTTATTAACCTCTACAATGTCCTTTTTGTTTTCATCAGCACTTTGAATTGAGTTGATGCTGAAATATGCTGCTATACAACTAAACTTGCTTTAAACCCAAGGGACGAACCAATGTTTTGTTGACTTTTTGTACTAAGAGCTAAAGTTTGATCTTCACACCCATCCATATATTTCAGTAAACTCTGTTTTACTATTCCTAATTTTTTAAGCTCAATTTACTCTGATGGTAAGAGGTGTGGAAAGAAAACCAGTTGAAAATGGTCTCCAGGAAAGTCTGAATAAGTTGGTTGAAACGTTCCCACATTGTTAACATTTGGGTAAAACAATAATGCGCAGTAAGCGCTGAAACTGCTTGAGTCTGATGAGTCTGGTCAGGTGGTTTCAGCTCAGCCCGCCTCCCTCTGCAGATGAGTTCACCCTGTTAGTCTGCCCTGATCGCTCACTCAGGTTTAGCTTCACTTCTTCTTTTTCCTGATTAGAGGTAAGCATCACAGTCGCTCTTGCGTCTACGTCGGATCTGCTCAAGGTAACTCTTCTGGTGATCGTGTCCTGTTGTGTGCTGTCATGGATGTGTTTCCAGGCCACAGAGCATCAGCCCTGCAGCTGGGACTTCACACAGCCGTCTAACAACATGTCACATCACAGATCTCTGTCTGTCGGCTGAGAACCTTTAGAGTCAAAGCAGGAACCTGGACCTGGTGTGGCATCTGATGTCATATGGAAGTCTAAGGATTGGTACTTGAATAAAAGCCAGAGGAATTTCTTAGTCTTCAATAGATAGATGCGTCCTGTTCGTTGTAGTTGCGATATACCAGTTGGACCTCTGTGTCTCACCTGGCTGTCCACAGATCTTTGGTACCAAGTCAAAGAAATGGATGTCAACACATTATGTGCTAACATTTGTGTAATTGAGATCTCTCCTGTGGCATTAGGGCTTGTCTTGACCAGATCATGACAAAAAGAAAACCTTCAGCAGTATTGGCCCATGTATAGCTGGAATCTGTGAATGCTTGAGACTCCATCTAAAAACTGTCTATTCTGACAGTTCAAACATCAAATATAACTTAATAACTATTAGTACGCACAATGGAAACCGTCTTAGCACGATCACTGAAGCTGACAGCCAATCAGTGGCAAGAAAAATGAAGGCTGCTTCTGAATTGGCTGCTTTGCGAATGCCAGCCAGTAGCATTTCTCCTACCTTTGTGTCTTGGTGTTCCAGCTTCAGAAGGTGTAATTTCTACCAGCGACTTGCAAATATTTTTGGGGTTTCACTGCAAAATCGGGATACAGATGGTTGACATGATGTGATTGATTGTTTGCTGCCACAGGCCTGCTCAAAGGTCCGACATTTTGTTTTATAGTCAGTATTTTGTTTGTGGGACATTTCTGTCAGGCAAAAATCTGAGTCTGTCAAGCTGCAGCTAACTCATTGCTAACATCATTGTGTTAGCTAACTAGATAGCTTTGTCTTTCATGGTGAGTGGAAATTTATCGCTAATTGGATGGACGAAGTTTGTACATCTCAGTCTTACATCTGAGTTATTTTTTTTTAGTTTTTTAACATTTAAGACAAAAACATGGCTGCTGATGAAGTGCCCTAACCTTCCTACCGCTGAGCTTAGCTCATATTAACTTGCATCTCTTTCAGTCACTCTGTTTTTGTTGAAAACAGATTCAAGCAGCTCAGTAGTTGTTGGAGATCCACTAATTGCTGTTCTGAGCAGACAAAGTGATGGACCACCACTGACTCTGTGTTTCGCAGTTGCTACTCCGCCCAACCTTCAATCGTCTGTGGATAATCACATGCAGCAACATCATGTCTGTTCAGAGATGTAATTTTCCAACTTGTTGTGATTATCGTTGAACTCGAGTCAGGCGACTCCTGCTTGTTGCTCTCCTGAACTTCGTCTTTCGTCAGCAGATTGGAGTCTTAGCAGATTTCTAGACCATCTGTTAGGAGTTGGGTCCATGTGGCGGCCGGCATCTGCCCTCCCTTTGGCCTTTTCTAAGAAAAAACACTCCTCTGACACTTTTCTCAGATGCAAACTGTTGTCTGTCCCTTCCACCATGCAGGCGTCGGGTTTATGTGGAAAACAAACTCCAACTTTAATTCTTACTGATAGAAACTGAGAAGGTCTCGGATAGTTTCGTCTGTTTATTCCAACTTATATTGTTGATTTATCTGGAAACACCCAATTATTTTATTGACATCAGATTTGTACTTCATTTTTAATAGAATCAAAATACAGAAGGTTTTACTGTGTTTGGATTTTGATGAGACAGCTTAATTATTTTAAAAATTTTAACGTCCAAAGGCTAAAAAGTAACTAATATCAGCCAATGTGCAACAGACTATTGGGGCCTTATGGGAAAAAACAAATTAAAAAATATAACGAGCTTAAAGCCAATGTTTGAAGAATAAAGTCTAAAGAAAATGTGAATAAAATGATCACATTATGATTTTGTTTTGTGTGTGTTTGCGTGCGTAGCTCCCTGCACTCAGCCGCCTGCTGCGGAGATGGGAGGGATGTTTTCACCGTGTGAGAATCATATGAAGCAGCTTAGAGGTCGGAGCCGTTGTTTTCCCAGCCTCCTTCTCATGTCGAATACCAGAAACAATGCTGAAAAAAACTTTGCTCTAACAAAATGAGCAGAATTTGAACTTTATTAGTGTGGCAATTAATTTGGTAAGTTTAACAGCAGCTGTTTAAAGAGGGTTTCTAGACTGAAATTATGTTTTTACCTTTTACTGCTGTCATCCATGTTATTCAGTAAGTAAAAAGTAGCAAGTCCAAGAAATTACTCAAGTAAGAGTAAAAAAGTATTTGGTAAAATGTCTCCTTAAGTACTGATCAAATTATCAATCATTTGGTATTTAAAAATTACCTAATCAGACAGACCAATAACAACTAATATAGTAATATATTGTTAATTTTGAGACCAATAAATTTGAGTTTTTTATGTTTAAAATAGGAAAAAAATTAAACAACCAAAGAAAGCAATAAATTAAACAGAAATAAACCTGGAATCATAAGAAAAAAAACTGATTGGTCTCATTTTAATTAATTGATCTTTATAGAAAGTCTTTTGTGGTTTCCAGCCTGATTACAGGAGTATTGTCTTAATCGCCCCTCAGTGTCGTTGTGTTGAGTGTATCCCTTAACTTCCATCTCAATCAGCATAAAGCGAGTTAAAACGCTGCAAAACTCCTGCAAAACAATATTTTATTCAAGCCAGTTGAGCTCAGCATGAATAAAGATTTTCTTGTTCATTAAATACCAAACTCCACAACAAAGAGTCGTGTCAGGAAGTGGCTGCAGGCTGCTGCTAGGAGGGTGTGTTCTTAAAAATAGGCCCTGGCTGGGTTCAAAGGTCAGTGCTGGCTGGTCTATAAACACAGAGCAGTCTGCAGCGGTGAAGAAGCGCCTGTGTTCCTGCAGCTGAGGTCTGTTGTTGGTCGGAGTGAGTTTCACTCATTCCTGGGGTTCAGGTAGGTCCATCCCATCTCATTGTCACCAGAATTAGGTTGGTTTTAATAACTAAAATGTTTATTTGTAAATATTTGCAACAGATCAAATCTTTTGAAGCAGGTTATGTGAGAATAATTATTAGAAATTGTCTGATTTGGTGTGAAAATTGTTCTAAAGAAGTCAAACTGTAGAGAGGAAGGAAGTCATTGATGATGTGATCAGCTCTGATTTAATCAGGTCAACGATCAGTCAACAGGGCGGACGATTCCCATGTTGATGGGAATGAAACGCTGGTTTCCATCTCATGTTTAATCACCGGCTGATGTCAGCTGTTCTGCTGCACTGAGTGAATTTTACGCAACACCAGAAAGTTTTCACACCACATATTTACACCAAAGACTTTTATTAGACAAGTTTGAGCAAACATGTGGAAACACTTTAGGACATGAAAAATTATTCAAAAATGTATGGAAAGTATGTAAATATTCACAATAACAAACTTTGCTGGATGATAAATTGTCCCAGAAACAATATTGTTGTTCTGAGAATATTATAAAGTTATTTAAAATAGTGTAAGCCCACACTCTTAAAGATCAATAAACTTGTATAAATCAATCTGGAGGACAAATTCAGTTTCCAAAACAACAGAAACAACAAAAAAATTATCATTTAGTCTCTTAAAATGAAATTATCCTTCAAGAAAAGGCCAACGCAGCAAACTCAGCACTTTTATTGTGCAGTTTTTGGTAGAAAGAGGAAAACAATAAATCAGGCGAATGGAAATGTTTCAACTCGATTTAATTTATTTTGCAATTAATGTTTTCGCTTATTGCGACAAACACAACCACAGCTCTGGAGTAGCCAGTTTTTCTCGTTTATCAGGCAAAAGTTAAACTCACTCAAACGTCCTCACTGCGTTCTGTAACTTCAGACGGTTGAGGCTACCGCTAACTTATTGCTAACATACCTTTTCTAGCTAGCTAGCTTTTTTCCACTGTCATGGTTAAGTGGAAATTTCTCAGCAGTTGGATGGATGAAGTTCATGTTTTTCTGTGGAGATGCAGGGCTTAGAAAGTTTATGTCAACATGTTTCTAAGGCAGAAACGCAGATGGCCGCTGGTGCCGATCCTCCCTGCTCCCAGACTTTGTTGCAAGTTGTAGTCGTTACCTTGTGTTTGGTTTCTGTGTTTGTCCAGATTCAGATTTACTTTTTGATTTGTGAGAAATTGATTCTGCTAAATGTTGATGGTCTAGTTGGTGTTGAAACTTGACTGTGAGATGAGGATGAAACGTCTTCCTCTTTGTTTTTAACTGAAGCAGGAGAACTCCGTGATAAACTCAGTTAACAAGCTGGCTGTGTGTGTGTGTGTGTGTGTGTGTGTGTGTGTGCGCGCGCCTCACCTCTTCTTCATCTGACCTCCCTTTATTTCCCTCTCCAGGCCACCCACGGGCCTCAGCAGAGACCTTATGAGGATCATTTGACTGGAATCATATTGCTGCTTCAGGCTTTTTAAAGTGGGAGAAAACGAGCAATTTGTTTCTCCGTCCTCTGTGGAGTTTGTTGGGCTGCTGAACGTTGGATCTGTTATTCCAACATGAGAGGTGAAGCAGCTTTGAAAGTACTGTTTGTCTACAAGCTTGTTATCTTAATTCTCCTGCTGGATCCATGAAATTTTGCTTTGGAGACTCGCCATCCTGCAGTGCGTCGGTGGTTAAGTGCTCCACTGGATCAGTGTGTCACTGCATTAGCGTGTCAGTGTTTCAGCGAGTCACTTTGTCAGGGAGGCGGTTTATCACTAAGATAGCGTGTCAGCGATTCGTTGAGTAGCTACATCAGTGAGTAATAGTTTGGTGAGTCAGCTGTGTTTGCTCTGCTTTAATCCAACTCCAGTTCTAGTCCGGTGTGAACCCGAAATCGGACCAAACAAGTGAACTCTGGTCCGCCTGTAAACCCTGGGATATGTTTGGTTGAACTGCTGCAGTTTGAATGAGTATGTGAAAAGCAGAAACTGTGACAGCATGTTGGAGCCTTTGTACATAGAAAAATTAAGCATGAGTAGAAAATTTCTGCCAAAAAATTCTGACATTTTCCAGAAATTTTTTTTGATTAATTTTAGAAATTTGAATTTGAATAAATTTGAAATTTCAAATTTATTCAAATTCAAATTTATTCCCTAACACGTTATTCAAATATCAAAATATTTGCTCGGATAAATACAAAAATTTGTAAGCTCAGACATTTTCTAGAAAAAGCTTTGAAATTTGGAGTTTACTTTAAAAGTTTAACATTTTTTACTTTGAAACATTTTTTTAACTTTTAAAACATTTCTCCTTTTTTTTCTTGAAAATTTCTCAGATTAATATAAACAAATTAAGTTTTCTGGTGGGAGTTTTTTCCTCCATGTACGGCGGTGCTAATGCTCCGTTGTAGAAAGCGGACTATGACTCAAGGCATTCTGGGTAAAAACAACCAAAACAGATGCTCAGTCGAGCGCTAGCTCCAGAAGCGGCTCGTGATTTATTTACCAAAGACGATTGCTAAAATCTTACTAATTCATTTTTGATTACATTTTGTAATGAAGGAAGTTGTCTTCAGAACCCTCAGTGGTTCCTGGTGCAGCGCCCCCACAGGTGAGGAGGGGAACTGAGTGTACCAGACGATCAGGTGTGATCCAGTGCAGTGACTCATTGGATCAGTTTTCAGGGATCCAGTGGGTCTGTAGCCCAGTGAGACATCATCGTGTCTGTCCCTGCATTAGCATTTCAGTGACTTAATTTCAGTTTTGCCACTGTAGTTATTAAGTGCTCTGCTTTTGTTGCAGGGGACCAATAACGAGGACACAATGCGAGTGCACGTACACACCAAATTCTGCTTCCTGTGCATTCTCACCTTCATCTTCCATCACTGCAACCATTGCCACGCGGACGGACATGACCACCCAACTGTCGGACATCAGCACATCGACCGGCAGATCTCTGAGGCGCCGTATGTCCGAGCCACCGCCGAGCCCGACGCTCCAGAAGGGGGACCTCTAGAGGAAGAGCAGCGTTTCTACATCCAGCAGCTGTTCAGGCGCTACGGACAGAAAGACCGCTTGGACTTCCAGGGCTTCCAGAGTCTCCTGATGAGTCTGGGTTTAGGGGAAGTGAAGTTGGTAGGTGTGGATCATGAGGATCTGGGTCATGACCATGTAGCCCACCTTGACCTGCTGGACGTTCAGGAAGGGCTTCACTCACACTCATCGTCTGGCGACGGCCACAATCATGACCACCACAACCACAATCATGATCATCACAGTCATGATCACCACAGTCACGACCATCATGACCATCATGACCACAGTCACGACCATCATGACCACAAGCCCCGTCAGCCACAAACAGAGCAGGTTCCAACACGATGCAGCCACACCACTGCTTCCAGTCTGCCGACTGGTGAGCCGAGTGGGAACCAGGAACAGACTGATCATGATAGGCATGATGAGGACCACCCACACCAGCAAACAGAAGCACAGACTAGCCGCAAACATCTGACCTCTGTGCATCATGGCCACAGAAACCATAGCCATGACCGACACAATCACACCGATGGACAACTGGAGCCGCCAGTCGGTCCCACGCAAAATCCGCCCAGGAGGACCAGGAGGCCGGGAAAGGTCAGAGGCCAGCGGAGGCCCAACAAGTTACCGACACCTGAAACACCCCAGTCTGTCAGTCATGACCACGCTCATAAAAACAAGAGAGAGGCTCCAGGTGCGGCTGCTGTGGCTCCAGATTCACCAGTGCTTACAGAACATCCAGGTGGAATGACGCACCAGCATGAGGAGGTAGGACCTCACCCTGATTGATTAATTGATCACTAACTATTCAGAAACATGCTCCTGTTTTTGTCTTTCTACTCCCTAAGACGTTAACTGATATGATTCTGGTCTTTAGAGCTGAAACAATTAATCAGACTAATCATAAGTAATCGTGATTGGTCGATTATTAGAATAATCAAATTAAATCACTGAAATTCTTGATTGATCGTGACCAGTCACGATTAATCAAATAAATTGTAATGAACTTATTGAAATAATCAACTTTTTTAGTTAATTGTTAACTGGATTATTTAATCGATGACTAAAATTAGTTTATCATTTCAGTAATTGATTAATCATGATTGACCATGATTAGTTGGATTGATCATGATTAATTAATTATTCAAATAATCATCAACTCATTTAGTAATTGATTAATTGTTAACTGGAATATGAATTGATTTTTCATTAGTTGGTCACTTAAATTCTGTATATTATTATCTTTTCTTTCATGATGCATTTCCTGACCAGTGATGTCACTCACTGTTACCAAATCATTTTAATGGTATAAAATTCATTATTATAGCATCTATGCTTTTCAGTTATGAATAAAACTACATCTAGTATTTCTATTAAGGGTATTTCGGAAGATAAACAATGAACAAATCAAATTCTGTTGAAAATAACCTTATTAATTGATTTAGTTAGATTACTAAAGTAGTCGTTAGTTTTCTTACTTTTTGACTCTTTCCACTCGCCCAGTGTTTGAACCTGACTCAACTCCTCACCTACTACGGCCTGCATCCCGACTCGGTCATCTCCCCCAGCGAGTTCACCTTCCTGTGCCCCGCCCTGCTCTACCAGATCGACAGCCGCGTCTGCATCCGCCATTACCATCAGATGGAGGTGGAGCAGGAAGCCCTGGAGCCCATCAGTTCTGGTAAGCAGCCGAACATCGATCCGGCCCTGGTGGAGGCAACAACAGGAGAGCAATAAAGGAGCTCTGATTAATGCTGATCGATGGTCCGGTGAGCAAAAACAATAATCAGGTATAAATTTAAACTTGAAAAAGTCAGAAGAAATTAAAGCTTTATTGGTGATTTAGGCCTGAACTCACGTTTAAAGAAAATTTATTATGAAAAATTCACATTTTGTTCTTCCATTTGGATCTGCTGCTTCTGAAAACAGCCCAGCAAAATACTTGTGCTATCCCAACGACTACGTTCATGCTACCGTCCTCTAAAATGCTGCCGTGCAAGTGTTACTTTTTGACAGCAACTATTAGCTATATAAAAATAAACACTAATAACACCATTTCGGCTTGCTGTAAAGCCATAGCGTATTTACTCTCCTTCGCTACAATGCTAACATTTTCTAACCTGCGAGACATGTCATCATTTTCTGAAGTGCTAAATGTTAGTTGGTGTCGTTAGCAATAGATCATTATTATCTATGCTAATGTTAGGTAGCATTTGCTACTATGCTAGCATTTGCTGGAAAACCTCTACTAATTGCATAGCAACTTATTGTGTTTAACACTGGAGCTTATTTATGTCCTTAGCGACAAAGCTAATGTTCTCTAACCTGCTAAACTATGCTACTATTAGCTTATGTTCTAAAATTAGCTACATTTAGCATGTTAGCATTCCTTGGCATTGAATACTCTAATAAAATTCACCTGTTTGCTCATGTTAAAGGTCCAGTGCTTGTAGTTTCACCGCTTGCTCCTTTTTTAAAAGGTTTAGCTTTAATGGCAGATTCTGTGTTTGCATTGTGGCAGAAGGAGCAGCTGTAAGGAAAGTGACCTTGTGGTGACTTTCTCTGGGGCTTCCTTTATTAGCCTTTAAAACAGGACAGCACAGCGTTGCACAGTTAACGAGTAACAAGTTCCAGAAATAAAACCATAAACATTTTATACCGATAAGACCAGAACCAGTAATCGCTTAGCGTGATTAAGCAATATATTAAGAACGTCCGCAGCCTGCAGTGGCGTTAAATTAAAATGTTTCCCTGTATTGTCCTGGAAGTTGTGAAGTCGTCACTGTAAACATTGAGCAGCTTGGTGAGTGGAGGGTCATAAAATGTCCCGCTCAGCCTAATTTAATAAGAATTAGTGCTTAAAAAGTCTGCATCCTCCATTTCAGATGCGATGATTTGAACTTTAAAGATGTTTCTTTTTCTTCCCGGACGGAATAAAGTTCAATTATTAAACATGGAAGAACCTGCATCACATGAGCCCCACGCTGCTGCTCACAATAGTCATAAAAATGGAAATGATGACTGTAAAACAAGTCAAAAGGGCAGCGATGGCTCCTCATTAGAGGGAAACTAGAGGCGCTAGACATCAGGAAGCGCTGCGGCGCTGCCTCTCATCTACCCCCTGCTGGCCTTCATGGGGAGCTTCCCCCCCGCCGCCGCCGCCGCTCACACCCTCTCTTCGCTGAGCCAATTAGGACGCCGTCGGCCATTTCTCTGTGTAATTCCTTTGTTGCTACGCCGCAGCGCCACACCTGCATTAAGGTAACGAGCTGCGTGAGGGAGCGGCGGCGGCGCACCGCCCGGCTGATGTACAGCCGCCGCTCAGGGCGGCGAAGCTCCAACAGCGACAAATGGGAACGCAGTGAGCTGTGAAACCGTTTCCCTGTTCGGCGCGAGAAAACAGGAAAACATGAGAGAGAAAGTTATCTGTGATGTTTGTCCTCCATAACGATCCGCCTGCATGATATTTACATCCTGAAAACTGCAGCTCAGACTGACAACATTATCTCTCTTTTCTTTTCTTCCTCTGTCTTTATTTCTTTGTGTTTTGTTTCTTCCTACTTTTTTATTTTATATCTTTTTTTCTTTAGCTTATTGTTTTCTTGCATCTTTTCCTTTTGATTTTTTCCCTTTTTCTCTGTGTTTTGTTCTTTTTCTCTGTTTTCTTTTTCTTGTATTTTTTCTATATTTTAGCTTTATTTTTTCTGTCATTTTTCCTCCTTTCTTTGTTTTCTCTTTCTCTCTTCCTGCCACCAGGCTCTGAGATGAATGTTAAATGTTCACAGCTGGAGTTTTTAAAGAGACAGAGACACAATTTCAAGGCTAAATTACAAGGTCTTTTTTTAAAAGTCTTATTTGATATTTATAGAGTTTTTATAACAACTGAAGTTAACATGGTTACTTTATTTTGCTGTCCCTTTGGAAACTTGTGGAAATTGATCAAAATTACCCAAAGTATGAAAAATACTACTATAAGAAAACTAAACTGAGACTAAACAGTATTTAACTACCCAACAAAATGTCTGCAGTTAAACAGACTAATTGTTTTCTGATGCAGACGGAGCTGCAGCCTGAGAAACGTGTTTCGGTTGAAGCCGATTTTAAACTCCTGCGCCGGTTTTTACGACGCTGCGTCTGGAGTTACGGCCGCGGCGCTCCGTCGGGTTCATGAGCTTCAGCTGTGAGCTGCTCACCGCAGGAAAGATCAGCGTGATGGGAATCAAACGTCAGACCCAGTGTGAACCAGTGAAACAGCTGCAGTAACTGGTTTAAGTGGTTTCACTGGTTTCACCGGTTTCACTGGCGTCACTGGTTTAACTGGTTTCACTGGTTTAACTGGTTTGGCTGGTTTCACTGGTTTAACTGGTTTATCTGGTTTAACTGGTTCCACTGGTTTCACTGGTTTAACTGGTTTCACTGGTTTAACTGGTTCCAGTGGTTTCACTGGTTTCACTGGTTTCACTGGTTTAACTGGTTTAGCTGGTTTAACTGGTTCCAGTGGTTTCACTGGTTTCACTGGTTTCACTGGTTTAGCTGGTTTAACTGGTTCCAGTGGTTTGACTGGTTTCACTGGTTTAGCTGGTTTAACTGGTTTCACTGGTTTCACTGGTTTAGCTGGTTTAGCTGGTTTCACTGGTTTCACTGGTTTAGCTGGTTTCACTGGTTTCACTGGTTTAGCTGGTTTGACTGGTTCCAGTGGTTTCACTGGTTTAGCTGGTTTAACTGGTTCCACTGGTTTCACTGGTTTAACTGGTTTCACTGGTTTAACTGGTTCCAGTGGTTTCACTGGTTTCACTGGTTTCACTGGTTCCAGTGGTTTCACTGGTTTCACTGGTTTTACTGGTTTCACTGGTTTAGCTGGTTTAGCTGGTTTCACTGGTTTCACTGGTTTCACTGGTTCCACTGGTTTCACTGGTTTAACTGGTTTCACTGGTTTAACTGGTTCCAGTGGTTTTACTGGTTTAACTGGTTTCACTGGTTTCACTGGTTTAACTGGTTTAGCTGGTTTCACTGGTTTCACTGGTTTAGCTGGTTTCACTGGTTTCACTGGTTCCAGTTAAGCCCAGTTCCTCGGCTGAACGTGAGCGTTGCTATGGCAACCAGCACAGTTCAATTTCATCCGACATTAAACTTGTGACCGTCTCCTAGGAGACGACCACAAGTGTTTTCACCCATGACTCGGTCGGCATGGCAACGGCCGACAGGCACTTTAAATCATATTCTGTCGTTTTTTCTCCATTTCTTTTGTTCTTCTTTATTGTTTTCTTTCTTGTTTGTTTCTTTCTATCTTTTTGCTTCTCTCTCTTTCTGTATGTCTGTTGCGTCTTTGTTTCTGCCACTGCAGTGGCTCCCCCCAGAGGGGGGGTAGAGGGGACCGTTGCCCCAATCAGAAAATTCAGTTCATACTTAGTCATATTCAATCAAAACATAAATGTAGAACCCAATAAATTATATGTAATAAATTAATTACATATATTTTTTTTCACGTCCAAAACTAAGGAGCCAGAACCTTCGTTTCTGTTGCTCTTAGACCCAAAATACCTGCCTAAAGCTTGTCAATTTTCAAAACCTTCTTCTATCTGATAAATGAGTTTTACTGGAGCACATATTACGGTTTATCTGCTGTTGGTAGAGTTACATCTGATGATTTAATGGCCTAAATAACAGTGAAAACAATAAATATATCTGTTGTTGAGTCTATGTGTGTATGTATCTGATAATTTAGCAGCAAAAAGTGTTTTCTGAGTTGAAAATGTTGCTTTTTTGTTGATGTATTGAAAATATCTGGATGTTTACAGCCAGTCTTCTCTGATTGGTGCAGTGTGGGTGTGGATCTGGGGCTTCGTCTCCATCACCATCATCAGCCTGCTGTCCCTCCTGGGGGTCGTTCTCGTCCCCATCCTCAAGCAGTCCTGCTTCAAGTTCCTGCTCACCTTCCTGGTGGCGCTAGCGGTGGGAACGCTCAGCGGAGACGCTCTCCTTCATCTGCTGCCTCACGTGAGTTCAGCCCGACCCGAAAACTCACAACATCCGGCTGGAATGAAAACCTTCTGGGTCAGAAAGACTGGATCCAAACTGCAGCTGAATGAATGGAAAAGGCTCAGAGCTTTTCGCTAATCTGCTAATAATTTTTGATTTAGCGCTTTTACCAGTTAACAGTTAGCAAAATGCTACTCTTTTAGCATTCTGCTAAGAGCCTAGCAATTATTTAGCAATAGCTGAATAATAGCTAATGCTAAATATTAGTTAGTTAGGGTTAGTAACCTTGTGATTACAACTTTTATTCTCATAATTCTATTTTAAAATGCATAAGAATGAATTAAAACCTATAATTCAGATTTATTTTCATAATTATGACTAAAATTTTAATTAAGACGTTTACATTTTTAATTTAAAACTTGTAGTTATCACTTTAATTGTTATGATTATCACTGAAAAGCTCATAATTATGACTTTCTTCTGCATTTTTTCAAACTTTTCTGTTTGAAATGACCTTTACTGTTATTGTGACCTTGTAATTCTTCATATTGTGAATTATGCATAGAAAACATTGGTACCATTTGGACCAAACTCCAGAACAACCTGCATGATGTTTAAAGGTTTATTTTCTGGAACTTTTCCAGTCATTTTTTCCATCTAAAAATAGAAAAGTAACGACATCCCGTGTTATCCATCCGGTCTTCTCCCTGCAGTCTCAGGGTCATCACGACCACAGCCAGCCCGCCGGCGGCGCCGCCGACCACGGCGATCTGCTCACGGCCTTCGATGGCGTGTGGAAGGGCCTGACTGCGCTGGCCGGCATCTACCTCCTCTTCATCATCGAGCATTGCATCGGCATGTTCAAGCACTACAGAGACCAGAGGGTGAGATGGGTCGGCCAATCAGAACCGACGATCAGAGCCGCCCATCAGAACCGCCTCATACCCGCTGCCGTTTCCCCACAGGAGCTGAGGAAGCAGCTAAACAAGAGGAACATCGATGGGAACCAGTCAGACCATCAGCACAGCCGCCACTCCGACGCAGAATGGCTGAACCTGAAGCCGCTGGCAGAAGGTGAGAACGGGGTGTACAAACTTTATCACAGCGAGTACAAGGTGAGAACGGGGTGTACAAACTTTATCACAGCGAGTACAAGGTGAGAACGGGGTGTACAAACTTTATCACAGCAGACAAAATGAGAATTCGTCAGGATTACTTCAGCATGAAATGAATTTAATTACTAAGCAAATAAAAGCAAGAAAATTACGAGATGTAAAAATATTAGAATAAAGTCATAATAATAAAATTTGTTTACATATTATTTCAACTTTATTTTCATACTTTTGCGATTTTATGTCTCAGACTTTGACCTTATCCATGTAATTCAGTTTATTTTTTATTAATTCTCCGTCGCAATAAATCAAAGTTTTAAGGTGTTTTGATTGGTTGCCTGATTAAGCGAATGTTTAAATGTTGGGGGTTTCTTTGGGGAAAATACATTTTTGGATCATATTTTCTGTATTTAACGAGTTTTAAAAAGTTAATTAGAAACAGACTTGAATGCACCAAAGTCTGTTTTGAGTCACTAATTAACTAATTAAAGAAAAAACGGCTGATTAAAAGATAAAAGCCTCAGTCGTTCTCCAATATAATTTTGATTTGTAAAAATCTTGCAGTGATTTAAAACTAAACGCTCTCAGCTGAGGTGCCACACACGGCCCACGCGCCCCAGGTTTAGACGCTCAGGTCCGTGTCTGCTTCCTGGTTGTGACGTTTCGTCCTCCTTCATTCAGACCCGGACAGCTCCGCCGTTTCCTGCGACAATACGCACAACGACACGCAGCTCAGTGAGCTGCAGCCGCCCGACTCCCCCACCACCAAAACGCCGCTGGCGTCCGACGGCGGCCGCAAGGCCCGCAAGCACGGACACGGACACGGACACGGACACTCCCACGGAGGGAACTGCCACTCGGACCAGGAGATGAAGGACGCCGGCATCGCCAGCATCGCCTGGATGGTCATCATGGGAGACGGCATGCACAACTTCAGCGACGGCCTGGCGATCGGTGGGCGAAACGGCGACGCATCAGAAACAGCATTTCACATCACATCCTGTTTCAACTTCTGTGTTATTATGACTTTAATCTTTTAACTTTGTCCTTTTATGACTTCACTTTATCGCAATATTAAGACTTTTATTCTTACAGTTTTATGACTTTATTGCGAGTTTCCTGCGTTGAGGCGCCATGTTTGAAAACACTTTAAATCGCATAAAGATTAACTGGAATTAACAGATTATTGAGTCTGTAGATTGAATAAATGATGAAAATTGTAATTTTTTGTCGGTGTTGTTGATGTTTTTCTGTGAAGTGTGGCTGAAGCTTGTTTTGTGCTGCAGGCGCGGCGTTCAGCTCCAACATAACGGGAGGCATCAGCACTTCGGTGGCCGTCTTCTGCCACGAACTACCTCATGAACTCGGTGAGTTCAGGACCATCAGGACGGATCGATTACATATTACTGACACTAATCAGATCGATTTGGTGGATAATCTGGATTTTGTCCCACCAAGTGGGTTTCCAAAGCTGAAGGTGACATCAGCGCCACGGCGGCCATCTTGTTTGACGCGTTCGTTTTACAGCTAAAGGCAAAAAAGTGGAAATATTGAAACAAAAAGTCATGTAGAAAATGTAATATTAGGAGAATAAGTTGTACAGCAGGAATTTGAAATAATGTCAGGTTGCTTAACAAAAAGTCAAAATATAACAACAAAACTGTAATAATAGAAGAAAAAAGTCGGAATAAGACAAGAAATCAAAATATTGCAACAATAAATTCCATAAAAATTGTTATATGGTGAGATTAATAAGCTGTACAATAGTAAGTTAAAAATTTGTAATATCAGTACAAAGTTAGAATAATTTAGAATAAATTCATAATAAAGAATAAAGAAATTAATTTATGACACAAAAAATAAAATTAAAATGTAAAATTTGCTTCTTGTAACTTTAAAATGTTTTTTTTCTGGTAAAATTACGTCGATATTCTCGTCGTTCCTATTTTAGAAACCAGAGGAGCTGATGTTTTTCTCATCGTCTTTTTAATCATTAAATATGATCTGGTCGCTGTTGAAACGTCCAGAATTCGCTCTTCGGTTTCCTGTGGCTCATTGGTTCTGAATCTGATCGATCGATTGATCAATATTATAATAATACCGTAACCTGTTGTGAGTTCATGCGCTGTCGTTTCTGTGTTTTGAGCCAGGTGACGTTCTGCTCGGCTCATTTTGTGCACCAGTAAAATCTTGAATCTGGAAAACAATCATATTTTATTGATCACTAAAGAAGCGAATGATTGAGGTGAAGAGCCTCTGCTGTCGCGGCTCATCAGACGGATCGCTTCCAGAGCGGCTCGTCTTTCCGCATCTGGGCGGAAAAGCACCTTCGCAGCACTGAGGGCTCTTCAGCCGCACACGGAGAGGCTAATTGGCGGTGATGGTGTGTTAATTGCGGTAGACGCGGCGGGCGGTGGCGGCGGCGGCGGCGGCGGCGCGCCTGAGGCAGGGGGAGTGAGGAAAACGCGAGCCGGCGCTCTTCCTCCTGATTGATTGATGAATGAGAGCAGAGCGATAATGTATTCATCGCGGTAATTAGCGAGGAAAGGAGGACGCTGCTACAGGAAATGTAGGCCAACCCCCTCCCCTCCAGATCCAGGGCGTTTCCACGGAAACTCGGCCGCTCCTCGCGTTTGGCCCGGCGAAGATGGAAGAGACCAAACGCTGCAGCATCGCAGCATCACACAGAATAACAGGAAGACCAGAAACTTCCTGGGCTCTAGGGGGTTTTACTGCCTAAAATCACCTTTATTTTTGCTTTAAAAAAGTTTAAATTGTTGCATATAATCCTCCCAAAAATATAGGATTTTAACATAATTCATATTTAAAGTAGAAATGATATTTTCTAAGTAGCTTCTTGCTATTTAACATAAAATAAATCAGACCCTGAGATGCTGAGCACCAGAAATGGACTCCATGTTGGCATCATGTTAGCATCATGTTAGCATCACGTTAGCGTCATGTTAGCATCATGTTAGCATCACGTTAGCGTCATGTTAGCATCATGTTAGCATCACGTTAGCGTCATGTTAGCATCATGTTAGCGTCATGTTAGCATCACGTTAGCGTCATGTTAGCATCATGTTAGCGTCATGTTAGCATCATGTTAGCGTCATGTTAGCATCATGTTAGCGTAGCGCTGAACAAGATGGCTGAAAAACTCGTAGCAATAGAAACGTTTCCATCAGTTACTAATTATTGATTATTTTTTGTTTTAAAGATCTGAAATTCTGCCAAATTGTTTTTACGCCACAAAACTGCTTTTTATGTTTAAGCAGTTATAAGGCTGTTGCTAGGCAACCAGAGAGCGAGTTGAGAGCCACTTAGCTTAGCCGCCGTGAGAGGTTGAGTTTCCTCTGCCCACATCTCCCAGAATGCCTTGCGGTTCTGGATCGGAACTCATTGAAACGACTAAATATTATCTATTGATATTGCGCAACTATTGATCACGATATATATTTTTATTGATTTATTGCCCAACATTCAGTTAGCAAGAATTCAGACACATAAATATCTACATAAATATCTGGTTTCAACTGTTATAAATGTTCATAGAAAGGGACTTAAATTCAGCTGTGACTGGTAGTTTATCTGGTAGTTTGACTGGTAGTTTGACTGGTAGTTTATCTGGTAGTTTGACTGGTAGTTTGACTGGTAGTTTATCTGGTAGTTTGACTGGTAGTTTATCTGGTAGTTTATCTGGTAGTTTATCTGGTAGTTTGACTGGTAGTTTATCTGGTAGTTTGACTGGTAGTTTGACTGGTAGTTTGACTGGTAGTTTATCTGGTAGTTTATCTGGTAGTTTATCTGGTAGTTTGACTGGTAGTTTATCTGGTAGTTTGACTGGTAGTTTATCTGGTAGTTTATCTGGTAGTTTGACTGGTAGTTTATCTGGTAGTTTGACTGGTAGTTTATCTGGTAGTTTGACTGGTAGTTTGACGGGCTGTTTGCGGTTCCAGGGGACTTCGCCGTCCTGCTGAAGGCCGGCATGTCGGTGAAGCAGGCCATCGTCTACAACCTGCTGTCCGCCCTCATGGCGTACGTCGGCATGCTGATCGGCACCGCCGTGGGCCAGTACACGCACAACGTCACCAACTGGATCTTCGCCATCACCGCCGGCATGTTCCTCTATGTGGCGCTGGTGGACATGGTAAGGCCACACTGACCTCTAACCGGGGTTATTATAGATCTGTGTTTTTCTTTATTGTTGAGTTTTATTTATTTGTGACATTTTGATTGTCTAATTTTGGTCATTTTAATAATTGTTTTGAGTTTACTAGTTTTTATTAGTCATTATTAGTCACTGTTTAGTTACTAATTATTAGTTTCAGAGCTGATCAGCCAATCAGATGCTGAGTTGGAGTATCTGATTGGTTGATGAGAGCAGCAGAATGTCGCAACATGTTGCTACATGATGCTAAATGATTCAATGTGACGCTACATGTAGCTACATATTGCTACATGATGCTAAATGATTCAATGTGACGCTACATGTAGCTACATATTGCTACATGATGCTAAATGATTCAATGTGACGCTACATGTAGCTACATATTGCTACATGATGCTAAATGATTCAATGTGACGCTACATGTAGCTACATATTGCTACATGATGCTAAATGATTCAATGTGACGCTACATGTAGCTACATATTGCTACATGATGCTAAATGATTCAATGTGACGCTACATGTAGCTACATATTGCTACATGATGCTAAACGATTCAATGTGACGCTACATGTAGCTACATGTTGCTACATGATGCTAAATGATTCATTGTGACGCTACATGTAGCTACATGTAGTTACATGTTGCTACATGATGTATAAAATGGATGCCATCAATCTGTCGTTTCCAGCTGCCAGAGATGTTGCACGGCGACAGCGAGGAGCACAAACGCTGCCACCTGGGCCACTTCATCCTGCAGAACGTCGGCATGCTGACCGGCTTCGCCATCATGCTGCTAATCGCCATCTTTGAGGACCGCATCGTGTTCGACTTTGGCTTCTAGCGGCCGGAAGCCACTGCGTCCGTCCTGCATGCGCTCGTTGGTCTGCGTGTCGCGTCGTGTTGCTGTTTACGAAGCACAACGCCCATCTGTGTCGTCGTCTTGTCCTTCGTCGAGTCCCACCTGCTGATGTCATCACGCCGCATCCTGACGGGACCAGAAACATTCCTCCGCACAATATCTCGTGTTTTTCCGTCGTCTGGGTTCGTCGGGAACCTGGATCGGTAGAGTAGCCGCCAAACAGGGCTGGGCGATAAATCCAGTTCACTTTATACGTTTATGAAGTTTTTTGTGGAAAATCTGGATTTTTTTCACCAACACATCTTTTGTTCCAAAGTTCAGCGGACATTTTGTTTCGAAAGCATTTTTAACAGCTTCTGTTTATCTGGACTTTATTTAGAATTCGATGATGAAATATACGATTTTAGCTTGAAATTATGAGAACAAATATGTACGGAAATAATTAAATCATACAATAAAGACGCAAGAATAAAGTTGTAAAATTACCAGAATAAGTTTGTGATATTAGGAAAATAAGGTCGTAATTTTATGAAAACTCCAATTAGAGGAATAACAAAACAAAACTGAGCATCTTGTGAAATTATACTTTTGTATCATTAAAAGAAACTCTTCATTTTTTAACTCATTAGCATCAAATTATAATCAGTAGCAGAACTTTGTGCAACTGAGTTAATCTCAAACAAAGAATAAATGAACCGATAACATTAAAACCTTTTTTCTTTAAATTTTAAGAAGTTTTTCTGGTAAAATTGCGTCTTTATCTGCTAGTATGACTTTATTGTCAAAGCCAGTTTTTGAAAATATTTTCCTATGGTCTGTAGAAAAGAAAGCGAGCAAAAAACATCTGTTAAACTTGGATCTGGTGTGAAGAAATAGTTGCTTTTACTTTGGCGATGTGTCGCCCAGCCCTGCTGCCGGAGCTGTTAGCTTTAGCATGTCCAGCTGTCCGCCATGTTTCTGAAAGGATGTAAAGATCTGGAGCCAAACTGCAACGATTTCCATGTCATACATAAATGTTGTAATGAGATCTATGGAGCTACATACGGGCCATAAAGTTTGCACCAAAAATTTAAGCTGGAAAAAAAAAGATTGAAAACTGAAAAATTAAACCAATAAAACCAAAAATTGTTTTGAAAATTCATTTTGAAACCCCCCAAAAAAAATTTATGCAAAAAATGAAAACTACAAATTGATGTAAAACTAAAAATTATTTTGAAACTGAAAAATAATTCAAAATAAAGAAAAATTTTGAAATTGGAAAAAAAAGGTATACTTCTCAGATTAAACTTTTTTATTTTTATTTCTTTTGTTTTTCAGATAAAATAAAAAATTCTTGGTCAAACTTTATGGCACCAATTTATCTCCATAGCGAACCAACCTGAAGCTGTGAACTTGACTGCTGCGGTTTATTCCTGGTTCTGATCTATGCAGATTTTCTGCGTTTCTGTTGGACGCTGAAGCCGCCAAGAAACATTTTGCTCATTCCAGGCTCTTCTGTCTGAGAGTTTCGCCGCCATCTTCATCACATTCCACAAGCGCATAAGCTAACGCGGCGGCGTTCATGACTGTATCCTGTCACTGTGTGACATCACCGTCTGGTCCCGCCCGGCGGCGAATCATCCTCATGCTGTTTGAATCATGGAGCGTGAGACGCTAACGAGGTCCGACTGGACTCATCATGTGAAGGCATTTTTTAATTTCATCAAACGTTCACCAGTTTTCATCCCTTCATCAGTTTTTCTTGTTTTGTTTTTGTTTTAAGTTAATGAATTTACAGTGGCTCTCAAATCAACACAACTAATTTAACATATCAGATTAATAATTTTTACGTGACTAATCTGCACAATTCAACTAAAAACAGAAGAACATGATGCTCACAAGTGAACACGGTGGTGGCAGCATCATGCTTTGGATGCTTTTCTACCGATGGAACTGGAAATGAAAACCCAGAGGGAGATTGTTTCTCAGACTCCTAATAAAATGAGAAAATTGTATGTTTTCAAGATAATTCTGGATAAAAAATTTTTTATTTATTTTAGGTAAATTTAACCAAGACAAAAAGAGACAAAAAGATTATTTCAGTCTATGGCTGTGAATTCTCATTTATACATCAAAGTGTAAAATTAAAAATAACAGAGTGTGTAAACATTTGAAAGTCACTGTAAAGCTGAATGAAAATATTTAACAGACTTTGCTTTATGGAAGCCCCTTGCTGCCATGAAAAACATAAATGCCCAATATTGTTTTAAAGTCATAAATATAAAAATAAGTCAAAATTCCAACTTTATTTCAAAATTGTTTCAGACAGTTGAATGTATGACTTTTAAAGTTGAAATTAACTTTATTTCAAAATGTTGACTCAAAATCTCAAAATTTTGAAAGTCAAAATTATGACTTTTTCTCCTCAAACTGGCTTTCAATTTCAAAAATCATGACTTTGACTGTTGAAATTTTGAATTTTTATATCAAACTTATGACCTTCTGTTGGGCTTTTATTTTGTCATTTATGACAGAAATGGCCTTCCATAATAAATACATTAATTTAAGTAAACAGCCACTGTATGGGTCAAATACTTGGTAAGTAAGGAGCGACTGAAGTGACTGTGTGAATGAGTGAACCGACCCGGATCCGTTCCAGCAGAACCTGACTGTTTTTACTGTAATCTGGACTCGATTCATTTCGTCTCATGCTGTTGGACAAACATGGACTCCGCTCCAGGGATTCCTCGCTGCTGATTGGCCGGAAGAAGAAAATGCTTTGATCATCATTATTTTTTTTTATTATGTGTATATTTGTTTTTGTAAGGTATAAAATGTAACATGTCGCTGTTAGCCTGTTGGTGCGTTTTCCTGAAGAAGAAGAATAAAGTGAAAGGAAGATGCTGAATTATGCAGGTTCTGGTTTCATGACGTTAAATACAAATCAGTGTTTTTAAAGATGCACCTTCCTAAAGTATTCACACCCCTTCAACTTTTTCTTACATTCCAACCACAGACTTTATTTTAAGGGGATTTTATGACCAACAAATAGAATTGAAAGGAAAATTTTGCATTAAAAAAAAAAAAAAGATCTGAAAAGTATGGCATGCTTTTTTTATTTCTTATTTTATTCTCATATCACCAAATTAAATATTTAAAGCTGTCAGAAGTCGTTTTAAAGGATATTGTACAGACAGGATTGTTTTCAAAAACATTTTCGTCCACATGAAGCAAATCTGGCCCTCAGCGTTACTATGAATATGCCAAACCTATAGGGGGCAGTGTAGCGCAGAGCTCTCATGTTACAACAGGTTCACTTCTGTTGCTTACTCATTCTTCTGAGTAAAAAAAAAAGCCCATTATTATATAAAATGTCATTATTTACATTTCTGGTGTGAAACTAGCCTTAAATTTGATCCAGTAAAGGTTTTAAAAAGTTTTAAATTTGAGTTGGTGAAATATTTAAGAACTCTGGGTCCTCTGGAGCGGTGAGACCAAAACTGTCCTTCTAAAATATGAAAAAGTTCAAAGGGTGTGAATAAGATCAACTAATGTTCTTGGTGTGAAACATAAAAAAAACTTGGGATGTGGCATTACTCTGTAACTTAACAGAAGTTTAGACTCCAGTATTGAAATGCCCTAAAAACTCGATGAAAATCCTCCAAATGAGAACAGACAGAATCTGGGCCTCGTACATTAAACATTAACAAGCTGTGGTGCTGGAATGTTACCGAGCACGAAACTGGTGAAACTTCTTCTAAAAACTGAATGAAAGTATTTTTTTTAAAATAACTTCTTACATCTTTAAATTCATTAGATTTGGGAATAAGCTCATCTTTAGCTCACCTACTTTTTACAGAACTTTAAATCCAGTCAAACTTTTTCTTTGCACTTTGCTGTAAAACACAAACCTGTTTTTGAAAGCAGCTCACATTTAATGAGTTTGGTGTTGATCTGCAGCCTGTGGTTTATAAGGAAGCAGATCAACCATCTAAAGGGGATCACTTCCGTCTGAACCGGAAGTGATCCGCGCCATCTTGAAGGAAAACATGTCAACATGTGGACAAGCTGCCGCTGATCTACCGGCTGGTGAACATGAAATCAGTGCAGCACAGAAGAACTTCACCTGAACTCCACCCAAACAAACAACATTTAAACGGATTCGTGACTTTTCGTGTGAATAACTGATGAGTACAAGTAGTAAGAAACATGTCCGTCTTAGCTAGCAGGTAAAAGCTACATTAACTAAGCTAGTTTGGCAGGAAGTACTACAGTAAATATCAGAGATATTTAGTTTTACACAGAGGTGGGTAGAGAACTCAAAAATAGTACACAAGTTAGTAATGAGGTGAGCTTGTCCTAAGCTTGTTTATTGTTGTCATAGCTGTGGTGTAAAGGGAGACGCTGAACACATCCGGGGAGAAGGAAGCTTGTTTCTAAGCTCTCCCTTTCCAACTAGGTTTGCTACTTTCTCAGAAAAATGTTCTTGATTCCAAGAAGAGGCTGAGGATCTATTCACAAAAACAACTTGGGGAAATAATCGCAATACTCCCGTCGTTCACTTCCGACATCATGGCGGCTCAATGTGGTTAACAGTTGCAAAGGGTCCATACTGTGAATCCCGTCTTCAATAAAGACAAAGGCCAGATGGATCTAATTAACTGGATTTATTCAACTTTTATTTACACACTGGAACTGAAACAAAGCTGCAGCTACGCGTTGAGCTGGCAGAGCAGAGCGACGCCTCGTCTGATCCAGTGCTCTGCAGGGACGTCGGTGTTCAGCGTCATGGCGATGACGTAGTTGGTGGAGTGTCCGGTGGTGGACAGAGTGCCGCGCCGCTCGCTCGTCTTGTAGACCGGAGACAGGTAGCTCATCCTCTCAGGAATGTCCAATCGCTTCATGGGCTTCAGCCACATCTACAGAGCAGAAGACGGAGTGAGGAGTGCGCTAACGAGGGGCGTGGCCAAAGCGGACGGGGGCGTGGCCAAAGTGAGTGGGGGCGTGGCCAAAGTACAAGGGGCGTGACCGAAGCGGACGGGGGCGTGGCCAAAGCGGGCGGGGACCGGCTAGCCTTGAGCTCTGGTGACAGAAACGCTAACATGTTTCACTTTAAGTTGCTGAGGTGAATAGAATTAGCGTAATGATGCTAACAGAGTTTTATACAGTTAGGCTAATTGTGAGAACATAAATATTATGATCTATATACACAGATCTGCTGCACTTAAGACATTTTTAAGAAAAAAAGTGGACATTTCTGAGCCTGCAAAGTAAAAAATTAGCAACAAAATAAATGAACTAATTAATTTTTTTTTCCTTTGAAAAGTCAAAACTTTGGTAGAAACAATTTTTGAGATGAAGGGCAATTTTTTTTCTTTTTAGAAAACTTGAAAATTGCTCAGTTTAAAATGTAAAAAAAAAAAAGAAATCCATAAAAATTTGAATTTCAAAAGTTGACCATTTGTGACTGCTCAAACTCAGAAATTTCCTAATTTTTTCAATTTCTAAAATTAATCTAAAACAATCATTTTGGTAGAGGAAATTATTTCTTTTCTATCTAAAATACGGCGCCGTGCTAAACAGATTCATGAATTTTGTTCATAAAAAGATTACACAGAACATTCAGCCAAAACGTGAATATCAAATCCAAGACTGCAGTGCTTTCAGATGAAACTGTGACTTCATTGTGCCACCAGTCTGCAGTTTGCGCCCCATTCTGGGCTGTTTTCCAATGGTATTTGCCCGGTGTGGTAATTCAGTGAACCTCAGGGTCTGGATGGAGCAGCAGGGACTAACCTGATCTCTTTGTTATCCAAACACAAACAAATTGAAACTTTGGGGACGTGAACTCGTAAAAGCATGAATCCCCGGGAGTTATTATGAAGTTCTGCTTATGCAAAAGAGATAAACTGGGCCAGTGAAGAAAAAAAAACATCTTAGACTGAAACAAAAGCGGTTTGTTGAGCAGTGCAGAGTGGGGGCCTTGGCGCACATTTACATTTCAAAGTTGCTGTTCTTCTTTTTTTCACCCGCACAAATAATAAACACATTTTAATGAAGTTCTGTTCTTGTTAATAAGACGCCCTGAAATGCCTGAATATTTAACAAGTGAGGCTGTTGCATTATTCATATTGAGAGAAAGGAGATAGAGGAAAGAAGAAGTTCTCAGCTTCGTCTTTCCGCTCTGATGATCCACGTCGGGCTGAACAGTGAGGGGATGGCCGGCTTCCCGCAGGCTGGGAGACAAACTAGAGAGAATCAGGAGACGCAGCGCTGCAGGTCCATATGCAGCGCTGAACCCAGGGACGCTAACAGCAGCAGAAAAATAAACTTCCATCTTGCAGCTTCATGCAACGTCAAGCAGACCTGAACTGCCTTTGTTGCCACAATTCTTTTCAGTGATGATGCATCTGGGGTGTGAATACTTTTTCCACAGTCAAATTCAAACAACTTACAAGCATTAACCCTAAACAAACCCTATCACCAATCCCAGTACTAACCCTACTGCCAACCCCAGTTCAACCTTTAAAGGCAACCCCAATGCCAACCCTTTGGTACAAAGATGTTCTGTTCCGCCTGGAATATTTGAACGTTAAAGTGCAAAACTTGATGCGACATAAAACTGCTCCTTTAAAATTCATGTATAAAGTGTGCTAATGCTAACCCCACTATCAACCTTAAAACAAATCCTATTTCCAACTTCATCTTTATCAACAAAATCTGGCTTGTTTGACAAACAAAAATGCAGAAAATAATTTTAATGTCAAAGTTAAAACTTAATTGAGCGTCACCTAGACCTGGAATATTTGCAAATTCAACCCTAATTCAACTCAAATATGAATTAGTAGGGGAAAAATGTGAGGAAATGTTGATTTTGAACGTCTTGAGGTTGTAAAATCATGTAAACCTGGAGGGCCTGACCGCCACCAAGTAATAACACGCTGCTAACCACATGACCACAAGGTGGCGACAACACAACAAGCTGACAATTGCTAAGAGCATTCTTTGCAAACCGGTGTGATAAATTCAGAAGTTTGTTGATCTGCAGAACCTCACCAACCTTAACTCAGATTATTAGTGTGTGTGTGTGTGTGTGAGTGTGTGTGTGTGTGTGTGTGTGTGTCTGTGTGTGTGTGTGTGTGTATGTGTGTGTGTGAGTTTGTGTGCGTGTGTATGTGTGTGTCTGTGTGTGTGTGTGTGTGTGTGTGTGTGTGTGTGTGTGTGTGTGTGTGTGTGTGTGTGTGTGTGTGAGCTCCTCACCACTGGCATGGAGTCGTGCAGCACTTTGGGGAACGACTCTGCCAAAAGGTTGGTGTCCCTGTTCCAGCGAGCGCCGTCGAGGAACAGACCGTGGACGTAAACACCTGACAGCAGATCAGATTCTACGTTCACACAGCAGGAAAATGTGACCTAAATCCACAATGTTTACCCATATGTGAGTTTTGCACGCCAAAAGATCAAAAAGATCAATTCTGCAATTATTGATGGTCAACAATTATCTGTCATCATTGGTGGCCATGCTAACTAGACTGATTCATGACAGGCTATGCTAGCATTGCTACAGAAGGGTGATTGGCAGCGCTAAGACCCGCCTCCTGGTTCTGACTGGTTGTTTCTAGTGAGCTTTGGAAGCACTGGGAGAAGGCAATGGAGCAAAGTCTTTTCACGGGTCTCATTACACAGAGACAGTTTAAGAATATTTTTTGTAAAAGTTGCAGCTTTGCAGAGGATCAGTACTGCTCAGTCTGCGTCTAGCCGTCCTACCGTCTTCTGGGGGGTCGATGTATTCACCGTCGTCCAGGACCTGGAAGTCGAAGCCCAGCAGGTCGATGGGAATTGTGTGTTTCCTGGCATAGTTCTGCTGGCTGCCGGTGAGGAAGGCCTGGGTAAAGAAGAACCCGGAGATCC